AACCATGAAGGACAAGGAACTGATTTTTATAATAGTTTAGGACAAATTGATGACAGCTTTGCCCACATTTCCACAAAGGCAGTGATCCTGGTTTCTGGTTGATCCTGGTCCTCAAGGCAGGTCTCATTAATCTTTTCTGAGCTTAGACCATACATATCAGAAGTATCCATGTAAATGGTAAGTGGTATTTTTAAAAATCAGATCATCCTATAAACCATGGCTTTTTTAAACAGAATTATCAGGTAGCCTTGTCATAAACACCTTAATATGTATTAATGAATACCAAACCAAAAGTAGGAACTTCCACTTTCTAATAAAAAGCAAACTGAATCCATCCTACTTGATTTATTTATTTATTTATTTATTTATTTATTTTAATCCTCACCCAAGGACATTTTTCCATTGATTTTTAGGGAGAGTGGAAGAGAGAGGGAAAGGCAGAGAGAAACATCAATGTGAGAGAAACACATCGATTGGTTACTCGATTTTTAAATACTACCAAGGAATGTTCCTAGGCTTAAATGTTATTCTTTCCTAGTAAACCATAATAATACAGAACTATCACCTACATGTCTCAGACCAAATTATTAGAACTATATGAAATTACCAACAGTCAACTCTATCTTACCCACAAAAATGGCAATTTCATATAGTTCAACCTGAAACAACAGTGAGAAATAGAGTAGGTAAAGGAAAACCCACCATCAGAGAAATTGATAACCTCATTAATTTCTTCAGTAAACACTAACTCTATAGAAATGCCTCAATTAATATATTGAGAAATTATAGCACTTGCCTAATGTCTCTTACCTGGCAGACACATCTATCACAATTCATAAATGTCTCAGACAAGTAGCAATTTCACAATAATTAACATCTTGGAAGCTGGCCTGATTCTTCCCTAATTTATTACAAATAAAAACGTTTACCTTTTTTTAAAAAAACACTAAGTTGTCTTGAACTCCAAGCCACATTAGGACCTTAAACATGAGAGTTAGTCTTTAGCTACGGATAGACAGTGTTTGGACTGGTAGCGAGTGTAGTGGTAAATATTTGAAAACAGCTCTCAAGCAGGGCAGAAAAACGTACGTGCGTGTGTGGGGGGGGGGGGGGGTAGTAAATTTTACTGATATAAAGGATGTGCAGCACACATATGAATAATAATAAAATACACAATAATCTTGTGTAAATTGCCTGCCTATGCCAGTTGATTCTCATAGAATGCTTGTGTTGATTTTCACCAAACTCTTTTATCTGTAGCCAACTTATAGTGGCAACTGGCAAACAAGCATAGTTCCAGGTTCCATGATGAAAATCCATTATCTTTTATGCTAACAAGCAAGACAAAAGCAAAACAATGAAGACACGTGTCAGACTTCACTCACCTGTCAATAATGTTGGCAACTCCTTTGCTAACCTGGATAATAATAGTTTCTGAATACCAGAAGACTATTTCCTCAATTATTTGTGCTATTCACATTTTAACAGATATTATGGACTGAATATTTGTATCCTCCCCAAATTCACCTGTTGAAATCCTAACCCCCCAATGTCATGATATTAGGAGGTAGGGTCTTTGGGTGGTAAACAAGTCATGAGGGCAGAGCCATCTTGAATGGGATTTAGTGTCCTTATAAGGAAAGACAGGAAAAAGGTCATCTGTCTCGGCCAGGTGAAAATGCAGTGAGAAGGCAGCCATCTACAAGCCAAGAAGAGGGCCCTCAGCAAATACCAAATCGGCAGCACTTTGATCTCAGCCTTCCAAGCCTCCAGAACTGTGAGAAATAAATGCAGTTGGTTAAGCCACCCAGTCTGTGGTGATTTCTTGTAGCAGCCAAGGTGACTAAGGCAACTATGGCCATCATACACTTTCAAGTTGACTCTGCATTATTAACATTTTCTTCATCATTTTTTAAGTCTAGAGACAATCAATCACCAATAAATCTTAGCCCTGATTTGTAGCCTTTGCTGATTCATCTGGTGTGAATACTACCAGTCACTAAATGCAGAGTTGGGAAGAGGTGCACAATAGCATATCATTTTATAGTATTGCTACCATCCAGGCACAGTAGATGTAAAAATCCTCAAGAGCATAGACTATAGCAAAATGCAGTAAAATAAGTAGGAAGCAATAAAGTTTGAGTTTTTATTACCTTCATTTTTAATATAAGTATTTAAGCATATGTTTATATAATTTAATTTTTACTAACAACTGTATATAACAACCAGGTCACAAAATTCCTGATAACTGACTCTTATTAGTAGACAAGAGGTCGCTCCAGTATACCACTATAAAATAAAAAATTTCTGATTCTCCAGTATCTTCATAAATTTCAGCTACTAATTACATTGTTGCTCTTATAACTAAAGTTGACAGTGTCACTGAGTCTATCTTCTAGACTATGATAAGTTTATCTAGGTTTTACATACAGATATCAGAATCTAGTTCTAACTACAATAAATATAAGATTCTGGTTTATTAAAATAGCAGCAAGAGTTCCATAATTCTCTTTTTAGAAATTTATCCTAGGAATATTTCATAACATTAAAAATATTACATAATTAAACCCTAAAATACCAAGGTAACTGTATAAACTTGTAAGTTAAGGGCCTCTAGAAAACCAACAAGTAGCCATCTGTTCATCTGTAAGAGTGTACCACCCTGGAAGCACATGAAATTCATTACCTCAGAATTTCTCAAAGCCAAATCTTGCCTCTGGATATTTAAAAGGAGTTAAGTAACACAACGGTCAATAATAACCTGTTTAAAATGCCCTCCTTGAATCCCATGCTTTAGGGTAAGTGGAGAGCCAGAAAGGAGAAGAACTGCCTGCCCTTCCTATTTGCTTTCTGCCCAGCTATATAGCCCTTCACCAGAGAAAAGGTGAGTGACAAGAGCAATTTCAACTTTCCTCTGAAGTACAAAGACCTACTGATAGGATAAAAGACTGAGTGATGAGTGATATCAACTCATTAGTTACTCCACATCCAAATACTTTCTCCCAAAGCACAAGATGCTGGCCTCCAAGACCCATCTGTTCCTAATTCTACGCTGCCTGCACATCTACGAAAACGAAGATCACACCACACTGGTAGAAGGCACCCTCACTCTGTCATACCCGTTTTCCTCTTCTCTGCAAGTATATCAATATTCTTGCTTCTTTATACTACCACCAACTTCATGACAAAAAAAAATCTCCAAATCATGGAATTTCATTTTATGCCAGAGAAAGAATAATAAATAAAATATGAAAGACAGAATTTATTTTAATTGTCACAATTTTTAAAACACGGGGTGCTTTTAAAATGAAATATATGTGACATCAGTTATAATAATTTCTTCATCCCATACCATTTCCAGCCACTAAACAATGCCTCTCTCCAAAAACACAATTTTTAAAAACCTACAAAAACCAAAACATTTCCAGTCAGCAGTAACATTCCAGGTAATGGCAGGGCCATCAAATTGTAGTAGGAATGTTCTAGATTATCTTATTTCTTTTGTGAATGTTTTTTTATAAGCAGTATTTTTATTTAAATTATTTTATTTGTAACTGATTTTATTTTTGACAAAATAAGCCATTTAATAAAACAACTTTTTATCTGGGTCTGTTTAAGAACTAAACACTCATGAGAAACTACAAGGTTAGAATGGTTAAAAAATATAGCTAATAGTAAGCTTTCTTCCAGACTACCATTCATTTTAATATTTACAATAATGCAATGGTTCAAAAGTTTGCTAATGGAAAGCTTTCTTCCAGACTACCATTCATTTTAATATTCAGTCAGAAATATTAAAATTTCCGGAAACAGAGTGGCTGAGTTAGAATTCAGTTTATACAATTCACTTAGCCCACCTTTTCCGTGACAGCATGTTTTATATTATTCTGAAAATGTAGCAAAGGGCAGTGAATTAGAAGCTCCCTTAGCTACTCATTTCTCTTAATACTAAAAAACGACTGGGGGTAGGATGGGAGAAACCTACTTCTACCGGCTCAATGCTCAGCAACTCTTTCCACCATGCCTTCATTTTTCAGTGCTCCATACAAATTAACTTCTCCCTTCTCAGATTGTATCCAATCATGACATTCATGTGAAACAAACACAATGACACAGAAGACAGACCCCTTACAGAAAACTCTGGTGAATGCAACAGAATATGAATAAGACAGTCTTTCATATTACTATATAATGAGGTTAATGTCCCACCTGGAATCATTATTCTCCTTAGCTATCATTATCATATAACAAAAGAACAGATTGTGTGTTTCAGTAGAAAGATAATAGTGAGCCTTATTTTGATGAATGATCATCTACAGGCTGGATACCAGCTCACATCCCAAGCAAATACTTCACTATAAGAGATCTCAGAGCATTCATGTGTGAGTCTGTCCTAATTCTGACAAACTACCATGTCGAAAGCATACTCCTTGATGTCCTCAATAATCTACACATTCGCTGGAACCAGTTTGGCTCAGTGGACAGAGCGTCGGCCTGCAGACTGAAAGGTGCCAGGTTCCATTCCAGTCAAGGGCATGTACCTGGGTTGTGGGCACATCCCCAGTAGGAGATGTGCAGGAGGCAGCTGATCGATGTTTCTCTCTCATCGATGTTTCTAACTCTCTATCTCTCTCCCTTCCTCTCTGTAAAAAATCAATAAAATATATATATATTTTTAAAATAAAATAATCTACACATTCGCTGATTCATCTCAGTTGTTTCCTCACAACATTATTACCAAACCATCCCAGTCCATCAGAATAGATGTATATGCAGCAAGCAAGGCATCTTGGCATTTGTAGCCTGCAACAGCCACCGAAATCTTTCCAACAGGACTGCAAACCTGCCCAACTGGATAAAAAGTGTCATTATGAAATGTCTGTGGCATATGAACTTGAGCAAAGAAGAAATATGGAGAGGGGGTTTAAACAAAAGATGACAAGCAATGGAGGAAAGGTGAGACTGGTAAAGAGAGCAGCAGACAGCCGGCCCTGCATTACCATTATCAGGGCTGGCAAACATTCTACTTGCACTGGAGACCGTCTTCCCAATGTCAGCCAGGGATCGAAGGTTGGATTTCTTGGTTTGGTGCCGATGCTTCCGGAGCAAAGTGTAGGTCACCTTATCCTTAAGGTCGGGTTTCAAAAGGCCTGTCTCAATCTGATGGTCAACAATCATATCTGATACAAAAACAAAGCAAAACAAAAACAAAACTCAGTCACAAGACCAGGAAGTCCTTTTTTTTACTTTAGAGATGTCATCCTCAAATTTAATATCAATACACTATTTTCCAAATTTCAAACTTCCCACCTTAGGAGAAGGGTAGAGATACAGGTACAGGAATATTGGCATTAGTAAGAGCTATAAATATTCCAGTATTAATTATATTTTTGGAGAGGAAAAATTCTTGTTCATTTTTTTAATCCCACTTAATAGTGAATTCACATTAATCAATTCTTATATGAGTAACACCATAAATCAGCAATTTACATTTTTCAATTAAGAAAAAAAGATAAGATTAGAAAAGTTCATGTACTCTATCATAGCAAGTGTGCCAGCAATATAAATGATATAAAAAACTTAGAGAATATGCAAAATTTAAAGTAGTGACATTACTGATGTTTTAAAATAGTTCCTCAAATTCTTATGTTCTACTCTCTTTATAATGGGACCCAGTAAAGAAAAACAAAGTCTTTCCCCATATCAGGTTATTTGAATACCAATTAATCCAATAAAAACAATTAAACTACAAATTATGCCTTAGTCTTATCTAAAAAGGGATGCCTATTCTTGTTTAGATCCAATATAACCCATTAGTCATTTTAAGATATAACCTGACTACAATTTTCTATGAAATTTTAATATCTTATTCTTACTACAAAAAAATTTAAATTTTTTATTAGTTCATTTTTTAGGAATGGTTTTCACTAGAAAAGATGACTGTGTTTCATAGAAATTGCTCCATGGGTGGCTCTGCTGAAGGACAAGTTTTACTCTAATCATAAATAAGATAGTGACTAGGCTGTAAAGTACGGCAAGGGAAATATAGTCAATAATATCGTGATAACTTTGTATGGTACCAGGTGGGTACTGGAAATATCAGGGGAAACACTTGGTTAATATGACTGTCTAACCACTATCCTGTATACCTGAAACTAATACAAAATAACAGTGAATATAAACTGTAACTTAAAAAAATAAAATTTTTTTAAATTTTCAAAAAATATGAAATCCTTTTTCTCACAAGTCAGCACAAATGTACCCTGGTGCACCCCATCCTAATGTCACATCACAATTCGACATTTCCTCTGTCCAAAGTAGGACTCAGGACAGAGCATCACCGAATCTGTGCAAGACATGCAATGGCAGACGCTACCTCAGCATATGCAGGCAGAGTTTTTGTCCCTGCAGAGAACCAGAACAATGCACCCCATGCCCACCTGTTCAGGTGCATGGGTGCAGCTAGCACATATCAATATTTCCCTTGGGCAAAGTTCTCAGTTTACAAAAATGGAGAAGAAAACAAAGCTCCATACTACTCGGCTGCAAAAAGGGAAGAAAAATGTACCCTTTGCGACAGCATGCATAGAACCAGAGAACATTATGCTAAGTGAACTAAGCCAGTCAGAGAAAGACAAGCACCATATGATTTCACTCATATGTGGAATCTAATGAACAAACTGAACTAACAAGTAAAATAGAGACAGACTCCTAGATAGAGAGCAGGCAGACGGCTCTGGTGTGGGGGAGGGGGGAGAGGGATTGAGCAAAAAAAGAAAAAAAAACCAGAAAGAACTCATGGACACAGACAAGTGTGGTTGACAGGGGGTGAGGGAGGAGATGGAAGAGGGTATTAGGAGTGATAAATGGTGATGGGGGAAAAATAAAATAAAATAAAATAAAATAAAATAAAATAAAATAAAATAAAATTGGCCAGAGCTGTTAGGATAAGAGCATCTACCAAGCGTTCCCAACCTTTTGTAAAGTTAGGAATATTCAAGGGGGTTGGCTGGGGCATGACCGCACCTCTTAGCAGCTCACCTGTACAAAGCAAGCACTCACAGACCGGGCCTCACGGCCTAGCACTAGAAACTAATGATTTACACAGGGTACAATCAACTAGTTGGGAGCCAAACAGAAGCAGAATCCAGATTTTTCCATCATGTGCTTACACAGATGCCGTAAGTGTCACATCACGCTGGACCACTTGGTGGGGAGCCTGGGCAAAGCAGGAAGAGTCTCTCCCATCGGAATTTTTGCTTTGACAATGGCCTTTAGCGCTGAACATTTTTAAGTATGCAAACCATGCTCAACAAACTCTCAGAACTGATTCTGTAATTGCAATGAACCCTCTGCTCCACAGCAAAAGTAATTAGGTGCTACTAAACACAACTCCTCTACTTTCCCTTTAAGTCTTGTTCCATGTGGAAAGTCCAGTTTACAGCGGAACCACAAAAATAAACAAACAGCCCCAGCATATCTGCTGCAAGTGTTATCAAACTCCTACTCTAATGCCAGGGTTGTGGATTAAAGGGTTTCTTATCTACCCTTCCTGGCAGGGCCTCCCTCTATTCTTGCCCTCCCTTGTAATCTCAAACCAAGCCTACATAGGCACAGCCAGCCCTGTTAGTAATGCCTGGAAATCACCAGTTACACAGGTTAAAACATCTGTGCGGCTTATGCCTTTCATTAAGTTTCCATAAAAATGGCCCACCATGCAGGGAACTCTTTGAGCATAAACTACAAAACCGTTCAAGGAAAGTGGGGGCAGTAACATCTCATAGCTACACTGAAATTAAGCCTTCAGTGTCAAAACTCCACAGACGTTACCAATTGGGAAAGAATGTGCCAACCCTACATGATAGCAGAGCTGCAAGGAACCTCAGAGAGCGTCCAGTTCAACCTCCTGTTCCACAGATGAGAAAAGACTGGGCAAGAGAGACTTGTTCACAGACATAGCTAATTACAGGCAAACTACCCCAAAATAAAACCAGGTTTTCTGACTCAGAGTTTAGATTTTCTTCCATATCACACAATACTTCTCTTTATTTGAAAGGAAGCTCTAAACCAGTGATGGCAAACCTATGACACGCGAGTCAGAAGTGACACGCGAATTCATTTTTTCGGTTGATTTTTCTTTTTTAAATGTATATTTAAATATATAAAATAAATATCAAAAATATAAGTGTTTTACTATGGTTGCAAATATAAAAAAATTTCTATATGTGACATGGCACCAGAGTTAAGTTAGGGTTTTTCAAAATGCTGACACGCCGAGCTCAAAAGGTTCACCATCACTGCTCTAAACCAAAAAGAATATTGATACATGCAGAGCTTCTGCAAACCAACAGAAAGATGGCGATGCAACAGAAGAAAAAAAAAAAGCCAAAGGAGACATTCTTAAAGGAAATACAAACACCCAAGACATTAGTTAACTCCAAAACTAACAGGCAATTTAAACAAATTTTACAATGCAACCAATTACAAGGTATCTGTTAATCTACTAACGTGGCAAAATGTAAAAAGCGAATTCCTGATGACATGAAGGATGTGTGCAACAGGCAATTCCATATACCGATGATGAGTGTAGTAACTAGCACAACCTGTCCTGAAGGCCCGCAGCCACATGACAAAACCCTTTAAAATGTTCAAGCCCACTCTAACTGGTTTGGCTCAGTGGACAGAGCATCGGCCTGCGGACTGAAGGGTCCCAGGTTTGATCCCGGTCAAGGGCATGTACCTTGGTTGCGGGCACATCCCCAGTAGGAGGTGTACAGGAGGCAGCTGATAGATGTTTCTCTCTCATCGATGTTTGTAACTCTCTATCCCTCTCCTTTCCTCTCTGTAAAAAAAATAAAATATAAAAAATAAAAATAAAAAAATAATAATAAAATGTTCAAGCCCTTTGAATACGTCACCATTGGAAATCTATATTAAAGAAACAATTTCACAAGAGGACAAAAATGTTCACTTTTTTTTTTTTTAAGCTGAGGTCTGGGGACCCAGTCCTGAGTGACCTTTATTTATTTCGTTTTTATATCTTTTTATTGATTTCAGAGAGGAAAGAGAGGGAGAGATAGGAACATCAACGATGGAGAGAATCATTAATTGGCTGCCACACTGGGGATCGAGCCCACAAGCCAGATGTGTGCCCTGACCGGGAATCAAACTGTGACTTCCTGGATCATAGGTCAACCCTCAACCACTGAGCCACACCAGCTGCATCACTTCTTTTCTTTACAATAAAATCTTAAAGGCAATTCAATGCCCAATAATAGATTTTTAAGTATTTTGCAGCTATTAAAATGATGTTTATATTTCTATTTAATGAGGTGGAAAGAAAATCTGTATTAGGTTTTTGAGTTTAGAAAAAGGCAGATTAAAGTGTAATAGTATGATCCTGTTTTGTAAAATAAATTTCTTATCTGGAAACGTACAGAAAAATTGCAGGAGGACAGCTCTGCAGGATCAGATTTGTGGTATTTTGATTTTTGTGTTATATTTTTCTTGATTGTTTAAAAATGAACATAGATTTGTGATAAAACATAAATATATTACTATTCTGAAAATATAAAAGATGTAAAAGAAAAAAAAAAGCTAACACATCTGCCCACAGCCATAGCTCAGGAATGCCTTTAAATATAAAATGAGAACTCCTAAAATAGAGCTACATTTTCCTAATCCATGTCCCATCATAATAAAATACCTGTAATGACAGTTTTTTTTTTTAGTTAGGAGGGGAGGAAAATACCAATGTACTTGCTTCACATGTGAATGACACTTTAAATGTAGAATTATAATGATAGTAATAATAAAGCTACTAAAATAATCTGCCCTAACTGGTTTGGCTCAGTGGCTAGAGCATCAGCCTGTGGACTGAAAGGTCCCAGGTTTGATTCCGGTCAAGGGCATGTACCTTGGTTGCGGGCACATCCCCAGTAGGAGGTATGCAGGAGGCAGCTGATCGATGTTTCTCTCTCATCCATGTTTCTAACTCTCTATCCTTCTCCCTTTCTCTCTGTAAAAAATCAATAAAATATATTTTAAAAAAATAATCAGTGTTTATCCTATAAATACTTTAAAGACAAAATTTTCTATTAGCTTTAAGAAGGGATTCTGGCCCTAACCGGTTTGGCTCAGTGGATAGAGCGTCAGCCTGCGGACTCAAGGGTCCCAGGTTCGAGTCTAGTCAAGGGCATGTACCTTGGTTGCGGGCACATCCCCAGTAGGGAGTGTGCAGGAGGCAGCTGATCGATGTTTCTCTCTCATCGATGTTTCTAACTCTCTATCCCTCTCCTTTCCTCTCTGTAAAAAAAAATCAATAAAATACATTTTTTTTTAAAGAAGGGATTCTGCCAAAAAAAAATAAAAGAAGAGGCTCTGAGGAGAATCAGAAGTGGGCTGAATTTCTTTTTATGCACATGTGACAAGGAACAACTGCTTAAACAGTTTCCCTCTGCTCATGACCAGATTCCTTCATGTCTGCAAACTCAAAGCATCAGATGCCACTAAGAAGGAGTAGCAGGTAGATTGCAAAAAAAGATAAAAATCTTGCTATTGTTTCTTTGATACAATCACACTTGTTATTATTACTTTTTCTTCTCACTTGTTGAGATAAATGGGGTGGAGGGGAGATGTATCTTAATTAAGACTTAGCTGCACATAATTCTCAACTCAATTCAGGACAAAACAACTCCACCCTCTGCTAAAAAGAGAATAACTTTTTGATAAACAAATAATGACAATAACTCTTCAAGTTACCATTCTATCTTCTGTCATTTAAAATAAAATCAGGGCCTTGGCTGGGTGGCTCAGTTGGTTGGAGCATTATCCCATGCACCAAAAGATTGCAGGTCCAATTCTCAGTCAGGATGCACACAGGAGGCAACTGATCCATATTTCTCTCTCTCTCCTCTCTCTCTCTCTCTCTCTCTCTCTCTCTCTCTCTCTCTCTCTCTCATCAATAAACATATCCTTGGATGAGAACTAAATAAATACATGAAATAAAATGAAATAAGGGCTTTCCCCCCTTCATATACTTTAACTTTCTGCAAGGTTTAGATTGTTTCAGAAGATGTTTAAGTATTTTTTTTCAGTCAGTTACACTCTCTCAAATATGTTCTTCTCCTTGCACTCCTGCAAATCTGGTCCTTTCTTTTCTTTCTTTTGCTTGTGAATTGTTTTTTGTTTTGTTTTGTTTTGTTTTTGCCTCTTTATTTGCCTCTGTCTTGTTTCTCTGTATTTTCAGCTCCAGAATGCACCCCTGCCCTCTCTGCCTGCTCGCCCCAGGGACTGCAGAGCAAACCTAACTGATGATAGTACAAGGTGACCTAGTAGTGTCTAATTTTAAAATTTAATGACCATTTTTTAAATAAATGCATGGAGGTTAGAGAAAAAGTTCACAGTTGGTAACAAAAGGTAATGGAAAATTAAAGTGAGAACACAAAATGCTTGGAAAACCTTCCTTAAATGTAGTAAATATCAGAACCTCTCTGGTCACTGGCTAACAAGGCTCCAGTATAATGTGGGAGAGTGTCCTCTACTTCAACTAAAATGTCGGTTAGTTGCGGAAGAACAGAAGCTCCTTAAGATGACCCTTTCTGGTGATGAATATCCAAAGCCAGTCTTACAGAAAGTCCAAGTATGTAATTCCACTTTAACTTTCATCACCTTTGTTGATCACATCTAGGCACAGCACAGAAGCTGTTAATTATTTCCAGGTCCATCCACTACACCTTTCAGAATCTTTTCTCCTGCTCATGAAGTCCCTGAACATCTACCTGACTCAGTCTACACTCAGCCCTCTGCTGGGTGACAGGGAGAAAGATTTGGATAAACTCATGTATGCCGACATAGTTATGTAAGAGCATAATAATCACACCTGATACCCTCACTTGCTTCTCACAGAAACCCTGAGAAGCCCACCTTCATCCTCCTCTTACAGAGGAGTAAACTGAGACCACTAAAGAGTTAAGTAACTTGCTTTGTCCATCCCACGGTCATCCAGGCTAGTAGACGTAGACTTTCATTAAACCCTCTTCAAGTGTAAACTCACCATCCTTTCTACAACACCACTCTATGTCTCATGGAATTAATATAGGACCTTTGTCAGACAGCAGTAGATTTTAATATAGGGCTCTCTGGGCTCGGTGAAATAAATCTCCAAACGATGACATTTCAGGCAGTAACAAAAGCCTATGGTGAGACTTTTTCTTTTGAATACAGGAACCTTTCTGGTGACCTTTAAACCACACACATCTTCTCCCCTTAGACTGCCTAGGCATTGCCAGGACACAATTTACTAAAGTCCATTTTGCCCTGCATGTATGCATTTCTGATGTATTTTTGCAACTTGTCTGACTTCAGACATTTTTGCTCCAGGTGAGTTCTTAAAGTCTAAGAATACAGAGATTGCAGTTCTCACTCAAAAATTGGATTGATTTTTGCTAACCATAACACTTTTTTAGATACTCTCTCATGCAGACTTTAATAAATGAGAAAAAGTTAGTGGGTGAAGAGTGATACACATGTATGTTTAAGAGTGCATTGTAGTGCCAGTAGGCCATTAAGGATACTTGAAACAATTCTGGCAGCCTGATACTTAGGATGCTTTCAGCTCTGTAAGGTGCTTATGCAATTATAAAACCTTAAATCGTCAATATGCAAATTATTCTGTTAGGAGACACGTTTTTGTTCTCCATGTTTCTGTTTCTACTGAAGCATGAGTTGTATTTGTATCACTGAGATCACTTATTGTTCTATCCTAATTTATTCATAAGATGCTTTATAAGAAAAGCTGACGTATCCCTCATTGTAAAAGTAAAGAACATACAATGTGAATGCCTTTATTCAATTTAGAATCCTAATGTTTCTGATTTTACATTCTTGTTGCGAGATGCAGAAGAAGAAGGAAGAATCCTTACATTTATCTACCTCAAAGAATCACTTGGCTAAAGTAACCATCATTCAGCTATGGAATTTGAAAGCCACAAAAGTTTCAATGATAAAAATCTTTTTTTTTTAATAAACCCAAACAACATGAAAGTAACATCTCAATTTACTTTTAAAAAAAGCCAGTGGAACAAATTGCCTAGAAAACCATCATTTCCATTTGCTTCTGTCTTTGTAGATGGGCCCTACTTTCCCTTGATAAAATAATCCAAGATCTCTCCTCATATATCAAATGTCCATTTCAGCCTCATCTGCTTTGTCAAATACGAAAAATTCTACACAGAGCTGTATTTCCTACATTATCTTCTAACTACCTATATAGACATGGATTTGTAACTTATCCCGTTTACAAAGTGGTAGATTTGCAAACCTAATTCCAGGGCCTGAAACAGTGTCTGGCACATTGCAGAAGCTTACACATCATTGCTGAATAAATGCATGAACTCATTAATTCTGTGCACCCAGCATCTTCACATTGGTCTTTCTCCTTTCTCATGCACCTTCAATACGTCAGATGCATGAAAAGTATGGGGTTTCTTTGCAAATCTAACAAGCTCTCTAAAGAAGAATGGAATACATATACATCAGCTAGATAGATGCCTCATTTGACAACAAATCTTTTCTTTCAGTATAAGTGCTATAACCTCCCCAGTGTCTATAAAGACACAGATGTCATAGGCAAGCCTTTTGTCTAAAGATAATCAAAGAAATTTTGCAGCAATCTGAAATTACACAGAAACTTTACACTAGTCCCTTTCTGTAGAGCCATGATCCACATTCTCTTCCCCATAATCCCAAAGTAGGCATCCTGAAGACCCCTTGGGAAAGCGTAGTATCCAAACAGGTCCAATGGTCACCTGGTTATGGAATTTTCCCAGGAATAACAGGCAGAGCCCCTGCACCTGTTTTTGAAGGTGTGCTCAATGAGCAACACATTTATGTTGTTATTCAGTACACCCAGATCTGAAGGGTAATTAAGGCCACTTAGGCCATACGTCTGGTTCTGCTAGAAAATAAAAACAATTACTGCTGTCTGGAATGTAGTGATGTGTGCCCAAGATGTTCTACATGGTGAGTTAACATTCACTACACAACTCTAATTTCAAAAGATGCCCAAGCTGCCCTGCACCATTAGGTTTACCGACTTGCAGATGGTTGTTCAAATGACACTCAGAACTAACCTGATCTGACTCAGTCACTAACCCATAAGGTTCTTCTGGCTTCTTGTCCACACAACTTTTCTCTACCTACAGCTAAAGAAGTTTGACTTCCGTCTATGAAATCAGTCCTAACCCAGGAACTAGATTGTTTTCCTTCCTACAGAGGATTTAAACCCTATTGTACAGACAACAAAACTGAGGCCCAGAGCAGTTCAATGTCTAAGGTCAAAGACTTCTAGAAATCTAGTATCCAGACATCCAGTCCAATATAACCAAAAATTGGGTGGGGACTCCATTCAAAATATTAATCCCAGAAATAAATGCATATCCATATACATACAGTATAATCACAATATTAATTTTTATAAAATAACATTAAAAAATAAAAAGCATTAAGAGAGAAGATTGAAAAACAAAACTGATGAAAACACACCAAAATGTTAGGTGCAATGAATGACTTTTTAAATTTTCTTCTCAATATTTTCCAAATTTTCTGCAAAAAACCTTATTAGTTTTATAACATAAAAAGAGAGAGCCAAAACCGGTTTGGCTCAGTGGATAGAGCGTCGGCCTGCGGACTGAAAGGTCCCAGGTTCGATTCCGGTCAAGGGCATGTACTTGGGTTGCGGGCACATTTCCAGTAGGAGATGTGCAGGAGGCAGCTGATCGATGTTTCTCTCTCATCGATGTTTCTAACTATCTCTCTCCCTTCCTCTCTGTAAAAAAATCAATAAAATATATTTTTTAAAAAAAAGAGAGAGAATAAATGCTCTAGAATATTCAACTCTGCTTACACTAGAAGTCATCGGCATTGATGGAAACTCGTGAATAGGTAGGGAACAATGAAAAAATGATAGGAATTTAAAACAACATACTTACCCACCAACTGTGGGAGAGAAGAAGCCTCCCTGTCAAGCATGATGGATCCTTTCTCTATACACGTCCTCAGCTCAAATAAGCTGTGAAGGGATAATGTGGCCACGTGGGGCTTGCTCCATCTCTCCCCACCCTCTTCCACTTTTTCTTCAAATTTAATCCACCTAGGAACATGAGAATCATGAATAGCAATTAAAAGTGTTCTAACTTACCTTGGACACGGCAACATCAACCCCTCTGTTTCCACCCCCATCAGCACTACCAAAATGTCTCCTTTCCTAGAGTCTTAAAACCTTATTATATCATTAATTAGTTTTTGTTTTGGTTTGGTTTTGTTGTTGTTGTTGTTTGTGGGGGAGTTAACCAGGGAACTTATATGCATAACCCACTGACATAGACAATAGTGTGTTGAAGGCCTGGGAGGGGCAGGTGCAGGGTAGAGGGAGTCAATGGGGGGAAAAAAACAAAGAAGACATCTGTAATACTTTCAACAATAAAGATAAATTTTAAAAAAATACACCAAATAGAGTCAGTAGTCTGCACCTTTCCCTAATATTAGAGAGAAAGAAAACAAACTCAAAGGAACCAAAGGTGTGTGTGTGTGTGTGTGTGTGTGTGTGTGTGTGTGTGTGTGTTTTAATATATTATATTGATTTTTTACAGAAAGGAAGGGAGAGGGATAGAGAACTAGAAACATTGATGAGAGAGAAACATCGATCAGCTGCCTCCTGCACACCTCCTACTGGGGATGTGCCCACAACCAAGGTACATGCCCTTGACTGGAATCGAACCTGGGACCTTTCAGTCCACAGGCCGATGCTGTGTCCACTGAGCCAAACCAGTTAGGGCAGAACCAAAGGTTTTATATCTGTCTATCAGTAACCACAAAATCCTTAAGAATGATTTAACTAAATTTTTTAAAACAAGGTAGAAATATATGCATTACAGATTTATCCATGTAGGTAGAGCCTACTATGGGTAAAAATAGCCACCACTGTGTGAATTCTGTTATGAATTCACAAGGCAAATTTATAGAAGGTGAAATATCAGTTATAAACCAATATTTATCTTAAATATTTGAAAAACATGGTGTAAAGTGGTCACACGAATATAAAATTCCCCTTTAATGCCTAAAGAGGGTGAGCATGTGTTGCTATGTCTTACTTTAATATATATTTCTCAGCTCATCTCTCTTCCCTCCTTAAAATCTGGCTTCACATGTGTTTAAAGATACACAAGCTCAACGAACAACACATCTTCTTCTTATAACAGATCTATTAACCTTAGCAATGGAACAAACAACCCTTTTTCAGAGCTTCTTCTTTCTGAGACTCCTAGACATTTTGATAGCTTAGTAATATATATCAAAAAAGTTTAATGGAAATGAGAGCAAAACACACTTGACAGTTTTTATGTCCCACATATTACACATATAGACTCTTCATACACTGGTTAAAAATACACATTAAATAAAAAGGGAAAGCATTATCATTTTGCTATTCAGCATGATCCAAAGAAAAATGCTTTTTTTTCTCTCACTTCAACCTTCTAAAAGATACTGAAAAAGATCAACAGAGGGGTATAAAAAACTGTTTTTCTACATTCTTCACCCAAAGGTTTAATGATTGAAAAATGTTTACCTAGAAAAGCTAAATGCTCACCTAGCTCACTAAACATGAGAACAAAGGGCAGAGATCAGAGGAAGCTCTACATAAGATATTATTTATAGACCGCTCACCACCCCCAGAGGAAGGAAAAAACACATTAGCAGAACCAGGAGGGAAAAGAGATCAAGAGATCAGCCACAGTGTCATAGAAAATTTAGAATTTTAAGCAAGCCTAACACTCATGTGATTCAGAAGTATTTTAGCCATATTTGAAAAGTCTCCCTCCATTACCCCTCTCAGTAAGCCTCTCCCACCCAATAAACTCCCACTTGTCAATGGCAACCTTATTCCTAACCTCACCCTTAATTCTAAGACCCTTCTCCTTTCCCCTGTATCCCAAGATATGTAGGCAGTGGAGACTTTTTACAGGCTTTCCTCACAAGTTAAAAAACCAACAGCACCACCAAAGTTTTAAACCTTCAAAACTGGACCTTGTTTATCTCTACAAAGTAATTGCAAAACATCCCAAGAAAGAACCAAAGACCCTTAATATTCTTGTGTGTGTCTGTGTATGTGTAATTTAGTTCTTCACTTTGGCTGGTATTAGAACCACAGAAAGAGAAGTAAGAGAATAATGACAATTTTACATCATACTCGTATAATTTGCCAAAACAATAAAAGGTAATTGGGGTTATTTTGAGAGTAATCATTTTATGGAGCATATTACATTGGTTAACTTTAGGTGTATTATCTTTTCATGCTTGCTGACAGAATCTCTAACCATGTTTGTTGGCAACTACTATGTGAGTCACATTTACATTTGATGTTATAAGTTATGACTCAAGATAAGACTGTAGAGGTTAGAAGATTATATAGTATATGAAACCAAGACAGGGTTACATAAAATTATGTCATATTTAAAGACTGTAGTGACTCCTTATTTTTATTCCTAAAAGTATTCGTATTAGTTGAGGAATAGAATCTTTGGCCATAGAATTTAAGCCCAAGATGAATGACATGAGTCAGCTAGAAACGCAGTGAAGGGAAGTGTTTTATACAGCCTTCAATTCCGGCTAATCTTTACTAAACGAGTCCCCCTCTTTACCATCTGCCATAAATTTATATTGCCAAAACCATTTCTTGAGAGAAAACTAAGCCTCACTTACATACAGCATGTGACAATGGCTCTATTTTACTATCATCCTCAACTATTTAAACAGTATAAGTTAAATTTTAAAAATTTTTTAAAGGAGTAAAAACTCTGCATTCTTCTGTGTTTGATCTTTTATTTCATTCCTCTCCATAGTGTATATTATAGGCAACCACACTGGACTTCAATATGACTTTGAACAAGTTTTTAAAGTATATTTAAAAATCATAAATCTTAACTAGCTTGAATTTATGGAATAGCATTACTCACCTTCCTGGAGGACACCAGGTCTTTAAGTCAAGATATAACAATTCTATATAATAAAACCCTAATATGCAAATCGACCAAACTGTGGAACAACCAGTTGCTATGACATGCACTGACCACCAGGGGGCAGATGCTCAACACAGGAGTAGTCCCCTGGTGGTCAGTGTGCTCCCCTGTGGGAGTGCCGCTAAGCCAGAAGCCAGACTCACGGCTGGTGAGCGCAGGGGGCATCAGGCCTAAGCCGGCAGTTGGACATCCCCTGAGGGGTTCTAGATTGCAAGAGGGCACAGGCCAGGCTGAGGGACTCCCCCCCATAGTTGACAAATTTCGTGCACCAGGCCTCTAGTAGAGGAATGAAATGCAGTCTCAAACTAGCCAGCTCCTTAGAATCCACATTCTCAGGGGATATGTATTATCTCATAGTTCAGTTTAGCATCTATTTCATTTTGAGTTCAGTAAATATTGAATGTTGTGATAATGTCATATCCTAGCACAGCTAACAGCATAAGGGAAACTCTGGAATAAGGACTATTAAATTCCTTTAAAATGCATTGCTCTAATTGTTCAAGGAATTGATTGTTCAAGGTACTTCCAACGTATGCTTTCAGGCATCAACTAAGTTTACCATTTAAACAGATTATTGGCAGGGAGTTTCATTCTAGAAACTACACAGGCTATGTCCATCCTCCTCACATATCAAGGACAAATTTGAAAAAAAAAAACAAAAAACTGAAAACTACTCAACTCAAATAGAACCCATTAAGGAAAAGACTAAGGCCAAGGTACCAAAGTTCAGCCAATGGATTTGTAAAGGTGCTTCAGTACCATGTAATTACAATGGTAAAAAATAGATGTTCTTCCTGTTAAATGTACTAAAAGCCACCATCTACCCTTCATAGTAGCTATGAATAATCATGTATCTGCAATGAGTTTCTCACTTTTTCTTCTGCCTAGTACTTGACATGTTATAGGAAAATTATTTCCAAAAGTTGGCTTTTTAAATGCTTGCAATTACAAAACTTGTAACCTTGGAAGAGGAGTTTATTAGGTGAAGTTTATTTAGTCCAAGGTCTTAGAAGAACAATGATAAAGCACACTGCAGTTTAACACACTCTGAGTGACTGCCAAACAACAGAACTCAACTCATTTGGTGAAGAAATAGAAAACTCACTGGGAATCACTGAATTTTGCAATTTTCCAATCATATGATTGAATATAATTAAGAAAAGACAAGACCTCTAACTTAAAAATATGCCAGTTTTACTGTGGAAAATTGACATGACCTTTGCCTTAGATTATAGTCCAACTTCATAAAACTATTAAAATGATAATAAAATTTCTTGCTAACTAGTAATTGCCTCATCACATTAAAAAAGCCAGTGCTAGTGTGTATCTGGGATAAATGATGTTTTTAAGGAGAATGCTTAAATTTCTAGAGCAACTGTGAAAGTTATTGCAAAAGTTCTATGCATGTTGTTATAAAATTTATGTGTATGTATAAAAGGTATATAAAGTTATACTTATGCATATTTATATAAGTTATCTGTATGCTGTAACTACATCGAATTATAAAGTGATTAAATTCCCTTTCCTTCAGCCTTTTTCTTACAGAAACAATAAACCTGGTCTCCAATGGAATTTTGCAAAGCGAAGTCAATGTCAATTGGGAAGGGAGCGGTTTCTCTCCAGGGCCCCAGGATCAGTGCACGTGGCTCTGTTTGATGGCCAGGCCCTGAAATCAGATTCTCCAGAGGTACGTAGGTCAGTCTGCAGGGCAAACTGGAACGAGCGGGTGCTCCTGTGTGCACTCCCAACAGAAGGGAAACACCAATACCCTTTCCCTTTGTTGGCGTGTTCATTTGCTGAAACTTGTGATGCCTTTCCTTTTTACCCACTGAGACACTGAGGGAGTGAACTTTAACACAGTTTCTTGTAACATTCACCACTTACAACATTGCCCATTTGAGCAGTCACTGAAATAAAAGTGAAAGCCAATAACGATTTCTGCAGAGATATTACTGACTCAAAGAAACAGAGTTTGGTGATGGGGCCGTCACCAAAGCTGGACCATGACTTATTCTTTACTAGTTTGCTTCATGAGTCCATTAGCTAAAACCTAGCTCCTAGAAATTCTTAATGA